CTGGTGAGGGATGAGGATAGGAATGGCATTGGTGAGAGATGAGCATGGGAATGGCATTGATGAGGGATGAGGATGGGAAAGGCACTGGTGAGGGATGAGGATAGGAATGGCATTGGTGAGAGATGAGCATGGGAATGGCACTGGTTGATGAGGATGGGAATTGGCACTGGTGAGGGATGAGGATGGAATGGCACTGGTGAGGGATGAGGATGGGATTGCACTGGTGAGGGGATGAGGATGGGAATGGCACTGGTGAGGGATGAGCATGGGAATGGCATTGGTGAGAGATGAGCATGGGAATGGCACTGGTGAGGGATGAGGATGGGAATGGCACTGGTGAGGGATGAGCATGGGAATGGCATTGGTGAGAGATGAGCATGGGAATGGCACTGGTGAGGGATGAGGATGGGAATGGCATTGGTGAGGGATGAGCATGGGAATGGCATTGGTGAGGGATGAGGATGGGAATGGCATTGGTGAGAGATGAGGATGGGAATGGCATTGGTGAGAGATGAGGATGGGGAATGGCATTGGTGAGAGATGAGGATGGGAATGGCCCCAGTGAGGAATGGGGATGCACTGGTGAGGAACAGGGAGAGGGATGTCACCAATGAGGGGTGAGGACACAGGAGTGATGGACGGGAATGGGGATGGAATATCACAGTGAGATGGGAGGATGCACCAGTGAGGGATGGGGACGGGGATGTCACTGATGGTGACTGAGGACACACCAGGGAGGGGTGGGAATGTCACAGGAGTCAGGGGAAAGGATGTCGCTGGTGAGGGGTAAGTATACACTGGTAATGGATGGGGATGGGAATGGGAATGGAATGTCACGGGTGAGATGGGAGGATGCAGTGATGAGGGACAGAAATGGAAGCATCACTGGTGAGGGCTGAGGACACAGTGGTGATGGGTGAGAACACGGTGGTGATGGGTGAGAACACACTGGTGTTGGATACAGGAGCATCAACTGGTGAGGGCTTAGGATGCACCAGTGATGGATGGGGATGGGAATGTTGCCAGTGGTGGTTGAGGTTGCGCCAGTGATGGATGGGGATGGGAATGTTGCTGGCGATGGGTGAGGATGCACCGGGGATGGATGGGGATGGGAATGTTGCCGGTGGTGGTTGAGGATGCACCAGGGATGGATGGGGATGGGAATGTTGCCGATGATGGGTGAGGATGCACCAATGATGGATGGGGATGGGAATATTGCTGGCAATGGGTGAGGATGTACCAATGATGGATGGGGATGGGAATGTGCTGGCGATGGGTGAGGATGCACTGAGGATGGATGGGGATGGGAATGTTGCCAGTGGTGGTTGAGGATGCACCAGGGATGGATGGGGATGGGAATGTTGCCGATGATGGGTGAGGATGTACCAGTGATGGATGGGGATGGGAATGTTGCCGATGATGGGTGAGGATGTACCAATGATGGATGAGGATGGGAATGTTGCCAGTGATGGTTGAGGATGTACCAATGATGGGAATGTTGCCAGTGGTGGTTGAGGATGCACCAGGGATGGATGGGGATGGGAATGTTGCCAATGATGGGTGAGGATGCACCAGGGATGGATGGGGATGGGAATGTTGCCGATGATGGGTGAGGATGCACCAGGGATGGATGGGGATGGGAATGTTGCCGGTGGTGGTTGAGGATGCACCAGGGATGGATGGGGATGGGAATGTTGCCAATGATGGGTGAGGATGCACCAGGGATGGATGAGGATGGGAATGTTGCCGATGATGGGTGAGGATGCACCAATGATGGATGGGGATGGGAATGCTGCTGGCAATGGGTGAGGATGTACCAATGATGGATGGGGATGGGAATGTTGCTGGGCGATGGGTGAGGATGCACTGAGGGATGGATGGGGATGGGAATGTTGCCAGTGGTGGTTGAGGATGCACCAGGGATGGATGGGGATGGGAATTGCTGCTGGCAATGGGTGAGGACGCACTGGTGATGGACGGGGCCAGGCCATCACTGGTGAGGGCTGAGGACCCCGGCGACCCTCTCCCCTCCGCAGTGCCCTGCACACCAGTGGTGCGGAGCTGCCTGCGCTGGCTCTGGGCGCCGCACCGACCCCGTTATCCCCCCGTTAATCCCCTTCATCCCTTGCCCCAGTGCCGGCGGCGCTGACGCTGGACCCCCGGCACCGCTCACCACCGCCTCATCCTGTCCGACGACTGCACCATCGTGGCTTACGGCAACCTGCACCCGCAGCCGCTGCAGGACTCCCCCCGCCGCTTCGACGTGGAGGTCTCGGTGCTGGGCTCGGAGGCTTTCGGCGCCGGGGTGCACTACTGGGAGGTGGTGGTGTCCGAGAAGACGCAGTGGATGATTGGCTTGGCGCACGAAGCCGTCACCCGCAAGGGCAGCATCCAGATCCAGCCCAGCCGCGGCTTCTACTGCATCGTGATGCACGACGGCAACCAGTACAGCGCCTGCACCGAGCCCTGGACCCGGCTCAACGTCAAGAGCAAGCTGGAGAAGGTGGGGTCTTCTTGGACTACGACAAAGGGCTCCTCATCTTCTACAACGCCGATGACATGTCCTGGCTCTACACCTTCCGGGAGCGCTTCCCCGGGAAGCTCTGCTCCTATTTCAGCCCCGGTCAGAGCCACGCCAACGGGAAGAACGTGCAACCCTCCGCATCAACACCGTGCGCATCTGATGGGGGTTGGCTCCGTGTGTGTGTGTGTGTGTGTGTCCCCTTCCCAATGGGTGTTTTCCTGCTCTTTGGTGGAGGTTTCGGGCCCATCCTGCCCCAGGAACTGGTGCTGGCACTGGGCAGGATCTGGCTTTCCCCACCCCACACCTCCTGCTTTGTCCTGTGCTTCCAAGGAGGAGCCCGGTGGGGGGGCCTGGGCTGCTGCAATAAAGGATTTGGTGAGAAGGGGCTGGGTGATGGAGATCATCCCCCCCCCCCAACCCTGCCCCAGGCATCCTGCGCTATGGGTACTGCACCATGGGGCACACGTCTGCTGTGCCATAGGTACTGCACTGTGCCGTGGGGGGCCATGGCATCAGCTCTGCACCGGGTATGGGGCACTGTAGGTACTGCACTGTGCTATGGGGTGCGGTGCCATGGGGGGCCATGGCATCAGTTCTGCACCGTGTATGGGCACTGTAGGTACTGCACTGTGCTATGGGGTGCGGTGCCATGGGGGGCCATGGCATCAGTTCTGCACCGTGTATGGGGCACTATAGGTGCTGAACCGTGCCATGGGGGGCCATGGCATCAGTTCTGCTCCATGTATGGGGCACTATAGGTACTGCACTGTGCTATGGGGTGTGGTGCTGTGGGGGGGCCATGGCATCAGTTCTGCACCGTGTATGGGGCACTATAGGTGCTGAACCGTGCCATGGGGGGCCATGGCATCAGTTCTGCTCCATGTATGGGGCACTATAGGTACTGCACTGTGCTATGGGGTGTGGTGCCGTGGGGGGCCGTGGCATCAGTTCTGCACTGTGTATGGGGCACTATAGGTACTGCACTGTGCTATGGGGTGTGGTGCCATGGGGGGCCATGGCATCAGTTCTGCACCATGTATGGGGCACTGTAGGTGCTGCACCATGCCATGGGGGGCCATGGCATCAGTTCTGCACTGGGTATGGGGCACTATAGGTACCGCACCGTGCCATGGGGCATTGGGATGTGCCATGCCATAGGTTCTGCACCATACCATGGGGCACTGGTGTGTTCAATGCTATAGGTGCCAGTAGGAGCTGTGGGGTGCTGGGGTGTGCCACACCATGGGGCGTTCGCCATGCACTGCGTGGTTCACTGCGCCATAGGTACTGTGCTGTGCCATACTGTGCCTCAGCTCCGGGCGCACCGGGGGCTCTATAGGGGAGGCTGCCTGTGGGGCTGGGCTGTGTGTGGGACACAGTGGGGAGGACTGGGCAGCCCTGCTTGGGGTTGGGTTGATGTATAGGGGGGGCTGTGTGGGGGCTCTGTGGGAGGTGTGATGTATTGGGGGGCTATAGCAAGGGTGTGATCTATAGGGGTAGGTTGGGTGGGGGGTGCTTTATCCGGGGGTGTAATCTATAGGGGGCTCTATAGGGGTGTGATGCATAGGGGATGTGATGTATAAAGAGTACTTTATAGGAGGTATGATGTATGGGAGGTCTATATAGGGGGTGGGATTTAAAGGGGCTGTGGGGGGATGTGATCTATAGGGTGTGATCTTACAGAGGCAGGTTGGGTTGGGTATCCAGGGGTTGTGATATATGTGTGATCTATAGGTGGGCTATGGGGCTGTATAGGGGGCGATGTGTATAAGGGGTACTCTATAGGGCGGGGCGTGCAAGCAGGGGGTGGGGTGTATGGAGGGGGTATATATGGGGTACGATATATAGGGGCTGGGGGGTGTGTGTGTGTGTGTCCTCCCGCCCGCCAGGGGGCGCGTTCGCCTGCCTGGCTCAGGCTGCTGCGCATGCGCGACTGGTCCTGGGGAAGGCGGGCAGGGACGGGCACAACGGAGGCAGTTCCGCGCGTGCGCGGGGAGGCGGGGCCCGCGCCGCCGCCATCTTGCCCCGGGAGCGGGCCCGCCGGTACCGGGGGGGGCTGAGGGGCACAGGGGGGGCCCTGTGGGGCTGAGGCGGGGCCTATAGGGGGGTGTGGGGCCTCTAGGGGCTGTGGGGCCTATAGGGGGTGCGGGGCCTATAGGGGGCTACGGGTCCTATAGGGGGCTACGGGTCCTATAGGGGGCCGCGGGGCCTATAGGGGGGTGCGGGGCCTGTAGGGGGCTGCGGGGCCTATAGGGGGGCGTAGGGGCTGCGGGGCCTGTAGGGGCTGCGGGGCCTATAGGGGCTGCGGGGCCTATAGGGGCTGTGGGGCCTATAGGGGCTGTGGGGCCTATAGGGGCTGCGGGGCTCTGTGGGGCCTATAGGGGCTGTGGGGCGATGGGGACGTGTGTGGTGCCGTAGGAGCGTGTGGGTCTCGGTCTGTGTGACTGGTACCTGGTGTTGGAGGGGCGGTGCTGTGGGGCCCATGGGGCTGCCGTGGGGGTAAGGAGCGGTGTGGGGGGGCTCGGTGGTGACCCCATCCCCTTCCCCTCACACCTCCAGCCATGGAGGCGGGCGCGGGCGGGCGCAAGGAGCGGCCAAAGCCGCGGGAGCCGGCGGCGCGGCTGGAGAGGGCCCGGCAGAGGGCGGCGCAGCAGGAGCTCAAGCAGCGGCAGCGGGCGGAGGTGGGCACCGGCCCCCCCCATGTACCCCTTGTGGCCCCCCTTCTGCCTGTCCCCCCCTTTGTCTCCCCTTTTTCCCCCCTTCCCCTCTTTGACCCCTCCTTTTCTCCCACTTTGCCCCCCTTGTTCCCCTTTTTGCCCCTCCTTTTTCCCCCCTTGTCCCTCTTTGTCCCCCCACTTTGCCCCCCTTGTTCCCCTCTTTGCCCCTCCTTTGTCCCCCCCTTGTCCCTCTTTGTCCCCCCACTTTGCCCCCCCTTGTTCCCCTCTTTGCCCCTCCTTTTTCCCCCCTTGTCCCTCTTTGTCCCCTTCTTTGTCCCCCCCACTTTCCCCCCTTGTTCCCCCCTTTTGCCCCCCCCTTTTTCCCCTTTGTCTTGCTCTTTGTCCCCCTCTTCCCCCCCTTCCCCCCCTTGTCGCCTGCTTCCCCCCCTTTCCCCCTTCCCCCCCTCTTTGTCCCCCCTCTTTGTCCCCTTGTCCCCCTCTTTGTCTCCCTTTTTCCCCCCTTGTCCCCCTCTTTGTCCCCCCTTTTTCCTCTCCTTGTCCCCCTTATTTGTCCCCTCTTTGTCCCCCCCTTTTATCATCTTTCCTCCCCTCTTCCCACAGATCTATGCCCTGAACCGGGTGATGACGGAGCTGGAGCAGCAGCAGTTCGACTCCTTCTGCAGGCAGATGCAGGCGTCGGGCGAGTGAGCCCTGGGCCCCCTCCGACCCCACGTTATTTATTAGCAAAGAGCCCCTTGGTTTGGGGTTTTTTTCTAAATAAACCCTGTGCTGGTCCCGTGTGGCTCCGGTGCCCCTGGGAATGGGAATGGGAAGCGCCGGAGCGGGGCCGAGTGCCAGCGCAGCTGCAGGCACCGGCTCGAGCTCCCGGTGCTGGGATCAGGACATGGGGCTGGATCCAGCTGTTGGAGCCTCCCCGGGGATCCCGGGTTGAGCTTTGCTTCCATCCTCCTCCTCCAGCGTTCCAGAGGGTTTGGATCCGTGGATCTAAACCTCGCTTCCCTCCGTCCCAGTCCCACCTCACACTGAAGGGGGGGATCAAACACGTTTGATGGGTAAAACCATAAACCCCAACGTGCTGCTGGTGACTTGGGTGTCAAAATCCCTCTGGGCATTTAGCCAGTGGCTTCCTCCCCTCCAGGGAAGAGTCTTCCTCGGATTTGGAGGTGTAAATCCCCCCCCCTTGTGATCCATTAACAGCACACGGTGGGAGTGATTCCTAAATTTGATGTTACCCCGCACAGGGAAGGGGTTTGGGGGTCTCTGGAGTGGGTGATGGGGGTTCCTTCGTCCCCCATATGAGGAGTGGGGCACGTGGGGTGTGCTTGGGGCAGAGTTGTTCCTACAGCTCCGGTTCTTCCCTTTTCTAAACAGGGTTGGATATGGAGAGGAATGAAGGGAGATGCTGGTGGAGGAGGAGGTGGAGGAAGGCTTTAGTAGGCGTTAGGCAGGGGTTGGACTTTGCAGCTCCAGATGGCAAAGGGGAACACGATGTAGGACATGGACCAGGCGAGGCAATAGATGGAAGCCACCGTGGCTGGCGAGAAGAGGACAGCAGCCACCCCTGCGGGTTGGGAAGAGCCGTTGGGATCAGCCCTTTCCTCCTCCTCCTCCTCCATCCCAGCGGGGTTTAACCCCTCTCCGTGCTTCCACCCCATCCTTACCTCCAGCATAAACCACTTTCTTCCAGAGCTGGGACTCCAGCACCTTGTCATGGGGGTAGCAGCCCCGGTCCAGCATGAAGAGGATCATGATGCCAGCGGTGACCCGCAGCAGGGCAGCGTTGCCCCCAGACAGCAGGAAGGTGCTCGCCAGCAGCGAGGATGCGTAGGGACAGGGCAGCCCCCGGTAGGTGAAGGGGATCCCTGCCGGGTGCCACACATTGAGCCAGGAGGAGGAATCACCCCCAAACCCTTTCTTAATGCCCCTTTCCCCCCCCAAAAAACGCTCATCTTACCGCTGGAGAAAAAGCAGAGGCGGGCGAACACGGCCAGCACATAGGCGAGGGCCAGCGCCCCGCTCAGCACCCCCTGCGGCTGCAGCAGCAGCGCCGTGGCCAGCCCAAACGTGGTGAAATCGGCAAAATCATCCAGCTTGGCACCTGCAGGCAGCGAGCAGGGAGCTGCCATGGGGCAAAGGAGGGGGGGGGACGACACAGGGGGCACCCCCACGATGGCTTCCCGTTGTGGTGGGACCGACTCACCCAGTGCCGAGCAGGCGTCGAGCCGCCGGGCGACAGCACCGTCAGCCAGATCCAGGAGGAACCCCACAAGCAAGAGCCAGCAGGAGTGGTGGTGCTGCCTGGGGAGGGCAGGACCGGTGTCACCCCCCTCTCGTCACCCCCCTTTGTCACCTCCTTTCCCCCCCACACCGTGCTACCTGTTGAGGCTGCAGAGGATGGAGGAGAGCCCGGCCACCAGGTTGGCCACCGAGAGCCCGTTGGCAGCGTTCCTCCGGATGAATTCCAGCGCCCGGCTCCGATCCCGTCCCGTCCGCTCGCTCAGGAACAGCTTCTTGGTGGACTGGAAAACACCTGTGAGGCCCCGAGGCGGCGGTGACGGCCAGGCCGGCGCCACTTCCAAGCGGGGACTCATCGGAGCACCCCCCACCGCGATATACCAGCTTGGTGCCCCCCAACCCCTTCCAGCGCTTGGGAAGGGGCTGGAGGAGAGGTTTTGGGGGGTGCTGGCTGCTCCCCTCCTCCAAGCAGAGCCCCCAAAGCTCTTTAACAAGCCCGAGGTGGGGTTTTGGCAAAGCCCTGCCTCGCGCCGGCGGCGAGAAGAAAACCAGGTCAATGAGTTAAAACAAGCACAGGACTGAACAGGATGGATCAACACGAAGCCAAACCCCAGCTTAGACTAAACGCCAACCCCGGGTTTAAGCTCTATGGATCTTATATACCTATAGGCTAAGCTTTAGAGACAGAGTTTAAGGGTCATGTCCTACTAGCGGGCTTTGCCCCCTGCCTTTGCCGTGCTCCCAAAGCTGGTGAGATCCTTCATCTGAAAGAAAACAGGACGTCAGAGCAACACAAAAGCCACCCCCATCCCCTCAGCCCTCCCTGTACCCGCTCCCGGCAGAGCCGGGACCTGAGCATCACCAAAACGCCGCCAAAACCAGCTCCCTGGTGGTCAAACCCCCCCAAAAACCACCCCAAACCCCCCTGCAAACCCTTCAAACAAACCCTTTGTTGTAAGGAATTCCCAGTTTTGGGAATGCTGCTGGGGCTGGTGGCTGGTGACCTTTGGACACCGCACCCGAGCTGCCGGTACGGGCAGAGCCGGGCGGCTGGGGATGGAAAATCTCCCTTCCCGGCATCACAGCCTCGGCTTTCTCCGGCTCCGGTGGGATCTGCAGCTCCAAACCCGACCCTGGCACCGTCTGCCCCTGTTTCCCCCCGTGGTTGGGGTTATTCGGGTGGCTTTTGGGTGGCCAGAGGTGAAAAAGGGACAAAACGTGGTGGCTTTGGGGCTCGCTGTCACTATCCCTCTGCTCCCCTGTCCCGAGCAGGATTGTTCTCGGTGCGGAGTTACCGGTAAGCATCACCGTGGCCGGGCATTGCCGTGGCGCACATTGGCTCGTTTGGGCTGGTTTAGCCCCAAAAGCAAGGCTGGAGGGTGGGGGGGGGGGGATGTTTGTGTGCCCCACACTTCCACCAGAGCCTTTTCTCCCTGTTTCTAGGGTGAAAACAGGCAGGTTTGGCTCATCCCGGGTGCGATACCGGGGTTGTGCAGTCTCACCCCTCCAGGACCGAGGGATCACCGGTGCAGAATTAACTCACTTTTGGGGCTCTTTCCTTGATTTTTACCTTTTCTGCCCCAATCCCCAGGGCAGTGCTCGAGCGACGACCCCTCATTTGCTGCTGAACCCCCAAAAGTGGGGATTGGGTGGGGATGGGGATCCCGGGGCGTCGCGGTGGCACTTACCGACCGGCGGTGACACCATCCACATGGCTGCGGCGCTGCCGAAGGGAAACTGAGGCCGGGACGGGAGCGGCGCTCACCGGGATCCCGGTGTTATATAAGGAAAAGCTCCGGCGGCTGAGTCACGCGGGGGTGGGTCCGGCCAGAGGACACGGACACAGGCATGGACATGGAGATGGACATGGGCAGACATGGAGATGGAGATGGGCACGGACATGGGCATGGATACAGGCGTGGACATGGGGTTTCAGAGGGGACTGGCACCCCCAGAGAAGGAGCAGCATCCGGGGGGGCTGTGCCGTGCTCATAGCACCCACACCATGCTCACAGTACCCATAGCAGGCTCACAGCACCCATAGGCTGAGAGCACCCACTATGCTCACAGTAACCATAGCAGGCTGACAGCACCCACACCATGCTCACAGCACCCTTAGCAGGCTCACAGTATCCACACCATGCTCAAAGCACCCATAGCAGGCTGACAGCACCCACACCATGCTCCCAGCACCTGCACCATGCTCACTGCACCCATAGCAGGCTCACAGTACCCACACCATGCTCACAGCACCCACACCATGCTCACTGCACCCATAGCAGGCTGACAGCACCCACACCACGCTCACAGCACCCATAGCAGGCTCACTGCACCCATTCCACACCCACAGCACCTTTGCCAGCCTTGGAGCACCCTTAGCAGGCTCGCACCACCCCTGCCAGGCTCGCAGCACCCATTCCACACCCGCAGCACCCACGCCAGGCTCGCACTGCCCATGCCAAGCTCGCAGCACCCACGCCAGCCTCATAGCACCCATGCCAGGCTTGTAGCAGCCATGCTGTATGTGTGACACCCATGACCTACCAATAGCACCCATACCAAGCTTGTAGCGCCCATATCGCCCTCGCAGCACCCATACCATCTACATAGCACCCATGACAGGCTTGTACCACCCGTATCACCCTCGCAGCACCCATACCATCTATATAGCACCCTTGACAGGCTTGTAGCACCTATAGCAGACTCCCAGCAGCCATACCATGCCTGCAACATCCATCCGGGCTCACAGCACCCATACCATGCTCATGGCACCCATACCCTGCTCGTAGCACCCACATCATGCTCCCAGCACCCACACCACCCCCCAGGGCCTCTGTCAGGCAGCACCCACTTGTGCAAGGGCGTCACGAGTTGGTGCGGCCTCCGCCAGCCCCGCGCCGAGCAAAGGGCCGGCGTGTGCCGGGCGCTGCCGCCGGGACACCGCGGCGAGACCAAAGGTCCCCGGCACCCGCCACCGGGGCCAATAAAACGGAACAACAGGAATTTTCCACCCGGATCCCAATGGGAATTGCCGGGGTGGGGGGGGTTGGATCCGGAGCCCCCATCCCGGGGGTGCTGGGGGGTCCCGGGGTCACCGGTGAAAGGGCTCTTTGTTCCCCGGACACGCACCGGTGGTGGCGGTTGCGAAGCGACGGTGACGGCCATGAGGCGCCCGGAGGGGACCATCCCCGTGGCCTCGGGGCGCCTCAGGGGGCTCAGCCCCGGGGGGGACAGGGTTGGCACTGGGCGCCCGTCTCTGCAGCATTAAAGTGCATTGGGGTGCCAGCCCCTTTGGCGTCACGGTGCCCATCCCCGTGGCTTCAGGGCACCTCGGGGCGCCCGTCCCCGTGCTACCTGGGTGTCTCAGGGTGCCCATCCCCCTGGCTTCAGGGCCCAGTCCCTATGGTGCCTGCGTGTTTCTGGGTGCCCATCACTGTGGTACGGTGTCCGGGTGCCATCCACGTACTGTCTGGGCACCTCTGGGTGCCTGTCCTTGTGGCACCTGGGTGTGTCTGGGTGCCCATCCCCGTGGTATCTGGGTGGCCTTGGGTGCCCATCCCCCGTGGTGTCTGGGTGCCCATCCCCGTGACACTGGGGCGTGTCCTTGGGTGCCATCCCCGTGGCGTCTGGGTGTCTCTGGGTGCCTCTGGGTGCCCATCCCCGTGGTGTCAGAGCATCTCCGGGTGCTCCCTGTGCCTGCTCTGCCAGTGCCATCTGCTGGCACCCATCCTGCCCCAGGGAGCACAGGGACATGCATGTGCCAGGGCCATGGGGTCACCATCACCACCACGCTTGGGGCTGGCTCATGTTATGGGGGGGGGCCCAGCACCCCGATACCCCAGCACCATGGTACTGTGGTACCCTAGTGGCCTGGCATCCTGGTACCCAGCACCATGGCAACCCAACACCCCGGCACTATGGCACCCAGTGCCCTGGCACACCAGCACCATGGTAAGTCAGCCCCCTGGCACCATGGCACTGTGGTACCATGGCAGCCCGGTACCCCGGCACCCCAGCATCCTGCCATGCCAGAACTGTGGTACCCCACCACCATGGGCCCAAGTACACCAGTGCCCTGACATCACGGCATCCCATTTTCCCAGCATCCCAGCATTATGGCACCCATCACCCTGGTACACCAGCACCTTGGTGTATCGGCACCCCGGTACCTTTAGCACCCTGGAACACCGGCATCCTGGCACCACGGCACCACAGCACCTTAGTGCCTCAGCACACCAGCGTGCCAGCGCCATGGTACCCCAAGACCCCAGTGCCTTGGCACCCCAGCACCCTGCCATCACGGTGTCCCATCTCCCCAGTCACCCCTCAGTGGTGCAGCCCCAAAAGTGGACCCGCAGTGAACACTTGGGTTCGGGACCATGCTGCAGCCCAGCGCTGAGACACCACCGGTGACACTGAGCACTGAGCTGTGCCCCCTGCAGCTGAGGGACACCCCCCCCAAGTCACCCCAGGGTATGGATGGGGAACAGGGCCATAGGGGGTCCCAGTGTGTTCTGACCCCCTCACCAGTGGCACTCACATTGCAACCGGCCTTGGGGCTGTCAGTGCAGATCATGGTGTGAGGACACCCACCCATCTGTCACCCATCCATCACCCATCCATCCATCCATCCATCCATCCATCCATCCATCCATCCATCCATCCATCCATCCATCCAACATCCATCCATCCATCCATCCATCCATCCATCCATCCATCCATCCATCCATCCATCCATCCATCCAACATCCATCCATCCATCCATCCATCCATCCATCCATCCAACATCCATCCATCCATCCATCCATCCATCCATCCATCCATCCATCCATCCATCCATCCAACATCCAGCCATCCATCCATCCATCCATCCAACATCCAGCCAGGGATGCACCCCTCCATGCACCCATCCTGCACCCAGCACCCATCCATGCACCCATCCATGCACCCATCCGTCCATCCATCCATCCATCCATCCATCCATCCATCCATCCATCCATCCATCCATCCATCCAACATCCAGCCAGGGATGCACCCCTCCATGCACCCATCCTGCACCCAGCACCCATCCATGCACCCATCCATGCATCCATTCTGCACCCACACCCTCCTGCACCATCCTGTTCTCATCCTGCACCCAGCACTCATCCATGCATCCATCCTGCACCCAGCACCCTCCTGCACTCATCCTGCACCCATCCTGCACCCAGCACCCCTCCTGCATACATCCTGCACCCATCCTGCACCCAGCACCCCTCCTGCATACATCCTGCACCCATCCTGCACCCAGCACCCTCCTGCACCCATCCTGCACCTATCCTGCACCCAGCACCTCTCCTGCATACATCCTGCACCCAGCACCCATCCATGCACCCATCCTGCACCCAGCACCCTCCTGCATTCATCCTGCACCCATCCTGCACCCAGCACCCATCCATGCACCCATCCTGTGCCCAGCACCCTCCTGCACTCATCCTGCACCCATCCTGCACCCAGCACCCCTCCTGCATACATCCTGCACCCAGCACCCATCCATGCACCCATCCTGCACCCAGCACCCTCCTGCATTCATCCTGCACCCATCCATGCACCCAGCACCCTCCTGCACTCATCGTGCACCCATCCTGCACCCTGTACCCATCCTGCACCCAGCACCCATCCATGCACCCAGCACCCCTCCTGCATACATCCTGCACCCAGCACCCATCCATGCACCCATCCTGCACCCAGCACCCATCCATGCACCCAGCACCCATCCATGCACCCATCCTGCGCCCAGCACCCTCCTGCACTCATCCTGCACCCATCCTGCACCCAGCACCCTCCTGCATACATCCTGCACCCAGCACCCATCCATGCACCCATCCTGCACCCAGCACCCTCCTGCACCCATCCTGCACCCAGCACCCATCCATGCACCCATCCTGCGCCCAGCACCCTCCTGCACTCATCCTGCACCCATCCATGCACCCAGCACCCTCCTGCACTCATCGTGCACCCATCCTGCACCCAGCACCCATCCATGCACCCATCCTGCACCCAGCACCCTCCTGCACCCATCCTGCACCCAGCACCCATCCATGCACCCATCCTGCGCCCAGCACCCTCCTGCACTCATCCTGCACCCATCCATGCACCCAGCACCCTCCTGCACTCATCGTGCACCCATCCTGCACCCTGCACCCATCCTGCACCCAGCACCCATCCACGAACCCACCCTGCACCCCCACCCCTATACCCCCCCGTTCCCCCTATACCCCCCGCCCTGCCCCATGTGCTCGGGGGCTGCCGGCTCCCACGGGCTCACTGGGGTCCCCCCCCGTGTCCCCGCCGCAGTTCCTGGCGCTGCCCCAAGGTGTCCCCACGCACCCCTTGTCCCCGAGGGACTTCCCCAGCGGGGTCCCCGTTCCCAGGGGTGCCCCTATGGCAACCCGTGTCCCCGCGCACGTGCACGCCCGTGTCCCATTGGTGCCCCCATTCACCCCCCCCCCCCCGTCCCCTACGGTGTCCCCATGTCCCATGGGTGGGAGCACCCCTATGAGCCCCCAGGGGTGTCCTCCCGCACCCCACGTCCCCATGGAAGCTCACGGGGGTGTCCCCACGCCCCCCCCCCCTTATCCCATACCCCATCCCCCTTCCCCCCCCCGTGTCCCCGGGTGACTTCCCGCAGTTCCCCCCTTATCCCCCTGTCCCTTTAAAACTTCCCAGGGGTTTCCCCCCCTTTTCCCTTCCCCCCCCCCCCCTTTGCGCGCTCCCGATGGGCCCCGCCCCACCGTGGTGGGGGTGGGGGGGGGGGGGTTGGAGGGGGTCAGACCGGGTGGGAGGGGCGGCCCCGGGGCGGCGGCGGCGGCGCGCACGGAGCGGAGCGGGACGGAGCGGGACGGGCCCGGGCGCAGCGGGCGATGGGGCCGCGGGTACGGGCGGTGCTGGGCGCGCTCCTGGCGCTGTGCGCGCTGCCGCGGGTGAGTGCGGGGCTGCGGGGTTGGGGGGTCCCCCCCACCCCCCACCTTGACGTTCGCGTTCTTCCCCCCCCCCCCTCCCCCCTTTCAATCATGGAGTTCGCGCCCCTCCCCCCTCCTCCGGAGGTCGCTTTCGCATCCCAGAGTTGGGGTCCCCCCCTCCTTGGATCGGGGTCTCCGGGGTTGGGGTCCCGCACGGAGCCCGTGGACTGCGGGTTCCCCCATGGATTGGGGCCCTAAAGGAGTTGGACCCCCGCTTCTTACACCCCCCCCCCCCCCCCCACCGTGGTGTTCGTGTCCCATTGTGGAGTGTGGGTGCCCCCCCCCCCCCCCCCCGGAGTTATTTGGGGTCTCCTAAAGGAGTTGGGGAGCTCGCGTTCCCCCCATAGAGTTCGTGTCAGCTCCCGCACTTGGGGTCCTTGGAGGAGTTAAGGGCCCCCCCGGAGGTCAGGTCCCGCCGTGAGCTTTGCCCCCCTCCCACCCTTTGGGTCCCGCCGCTAATTGGGGTCCCCTGAGCAACTTGGGGACCCCCCCTCCCCGAAGTTCGGGTCCCCTGAAGCATTTGGGATCCCCTTAAAGTATTTGGGGAGGTTGCGCTGAGCCCAAAGGGAATTTGGGGTCCCCCCCCTCTGTACATGAGGCCGCGGGGTCCCCCCGTGCTCTGCTTCCCAAGGGAATTGGGGTGTTCCCCCCCCCCCCCCCGACCCGAGGCACGGCTCCCTCCTGGAATCGGGGTCCCCCGGGGCACAGGATGCGGGGTTCGCAGCCCCGAAGGTATTGGGGGGTGCCCCCCCCCAGCACCAAGTCTTGGGGTCCCCATCCCCATGCCCTGCCCCCTTGGGGTCCCCTGAACTGAGCAGGCGGGGGGGGGGGGGGTCCCGCAGGGCCTTGGGGTCCCCCGGGGGCACAC